TTGCTTAAAATAACTTAAAATACTCAGATAAATATAATGGTGCTAATACAGAACCATTCTGTGAGACAAGGCCCAGGATCCTTAAATTAACTGGATATGGTTCACCCAGAAGCAAAATTAATGAACTGCTAAGAAAAATGATAGAAAATCTGAGAAGCAAAGAACAAAGTCAACACAGGTCACGTAGGTCCCTGGTAAAGCATGTATCTGCACATGTGAACATGCCAGGCCCAGGGTCTGAACCTCAAGCATCACAAAAGGAAAAACATGAGGGAAGAAATGACTGTTCAAACCAGTGGCAAGTTAGAGGTAAGTGCTGAAAAAGTTACGTTTCTTAATAATAGTCTGACTGACTATTGACTTCAGCTTTTACAGTTCTCAAAATTATAAAAGAAGTGTTATTTACAAAAATTATACTAAAATTAGTAATAGTTCAGATACAATTTTGAGTTCTGTTAAGAATTCTGAATGTGAAGAATGGTAACTACGGAAAAAGCCTTCTGTGCCATTAAAGGCTAGAGTTGGAATTGTAGCCCTGGCCATTATTAGGAGTAAGACTTTTCGTTTTCTTCCTCTATAAAACAGGAAATTGTAGCAGGGCATGGTGGTGAATGCCGGTAATCCCAGCACTCAGAGGCTAAGGCAAGAGGGTCACTGCATGTTCGAGGCCACCGTGGGCTACACGGTCAGTTCAAAGCCAATGTGAATTAGTGAGACTGTCTCAAAACAAAACACACAACAGAAAACTGTAGCACCTCTTAGAGCCATTACTAGCCATAAAGTTTCTCTGTGCTTCTTTACAGTGCTTCTTTTCCCCTAGTTTCAAGCAGTCATTGCTTTTGCTGTTGTTTCAGTGTAATTAGTTTTGCCTCCTATAGAATTTCATGTAACTGGAAGCATGCATACTTGTTTGTATCTGGCTTCTTTTGCTCAGCATTTAGATTCATCCAGTGTTGCATCTATCATTCTATTCCTTTTTATTGCTGAATGGTATTCCAGTGAATTGATACATGTTTTTATATCCATCTATTGTTGGATACTGGAGTTGTTCAGTTTTTGGTTGTTTAATCAATGTTGGAAATGTCTCATTTTCCATTTGTCAAAACTCATCAAATCCTACCGTAAATATACATCTTATTGTACATAAAATTATACCCCAGAAAAGTTGACTTAAAAAGGACTAAATAAAATAGACATTAATTCCTAGTACAGTATCTGGGACACAAAAAGTATTCAATGAATGGAATGAAATGACAAAATCATTGATCATCTGATACTTCTCCTTTTCATTTTAAAGAAACTTAAGTTTACAGTACCAAATCTGTATCAAGAGCCATGAGGAACACCACAGAGACCAAGTACCAGAGGATGCCAACTGGCAGATGGTAAGCAAGACTGAAAATACGGAAGGGGGAGAAAAGAAATTAAAGACGTTTGCTTGTCCAGCAGAAAAGGCCAAAAGCATGACATGGTCAACAGCAGCGGCAGACTACCAAAGCCAAAGATCACTTATAATACCTCAACAAGGCCTTGTCAAAAGGTAACTCAAAATCGAATCCATGACTCTATAAACAAAGCCTAATGATAGTTCAATAGTTACAGGGACATGGGTTTTAATTTATGAGAAGGTAAAAAAGTGGGCTATCCTTGAAGTTTCAAAATGAGGCTGTGGATCTTGCTCATCAAACAGGAAAGAACTATTTAAAAATCTTAGTCAACACAAATCCAATAACCCAAGGGTTTTTAAACGAATCTATGTAATTTTAAAATAATCATGAAGATAACTAATATATTTATTCAGACGCTGAACTTGACCTAAAATACAGTTCAAGCGAAACACAAAACATTTGCAGAACTTATGTTCTACTGCTTTTTAAAACTTTATCAAGGTAGAACTTTTTAAATACATCATTATGCTTAATAACAGAATTGCTATAAATAGAACATGTTCTTGAGAGAGAGAAAAAGGGGAGGAAGGGAAGTGGAAAGGGAAAAAGGAAAACTAACACCCAAATGAACATTATGGGAAGCGAAAAAAGACTACACGATAAATCTTAGCTATTACAGTTTATTTGGCTTTGATTTAAAGAACTCCAGAGGTCCTGTATTTCAACCCTAGTCCAATCAGAATTTGGACTTTTTTTCTTCCTTAAAACTGGGTACCTAAGGCAGGCTAGTGAACAGAACTTGAGTTTAGTATTCATTCTCTACAATGAAAATTACAAATTTTATGAGAAAGTGAATAGCACAAAAATGACAGGTTAAGCACCTATTTTTATTTTTATTTTTTTCCTTTTTGAGACAGGGTCTCGCTGTGCAGTTCAGGCTGGCCTTGAGCTCACTTTGTAGCCCAGGCTGGTCTCGAACTCGCAACGATCCTCCTGCCTCAGCCTCCCAAGTGCTAGGATTACAGGTGTGTGCCACCACGCCCGGTAAGCACTTATTTTTAATAGAACACTTACAAAAACTAATCTGCAAATTTTCCTCAAAAACCTAAACGTTGTAAATGAGGATCACGTGTATAGCTGACTGCAAAAAAAGTATCTCATTTTCCGAGGGTTAACTGTTCATTCTAGAATAGGTTTCCTGACTCAAGTTCTAAAATAATACGACCCACTCAGTTACATACAGTATCGATATTTTTAAGATTCAGAAGATATTTTCTTTTTGGGGCCAAAACCTATAAAACAAGAATACCCAAAAAATGTCGTTTACACAGTTCAATTAATTCTTGTACCTACAGCAAAACTATCCTTCCCATAGAGAACTGAGCGAAGTTACAAATTTTATAAAACAAAACCAAAAAGAATTGTCATAAGGCTCAGCTCTAAACCTCAGCCTTAGGTCGTGGGGTTTGATTTCTTTCTTTAAAAAAACTGAATATTTACGCTCACGCCATGTCCGTATTCATCTACTGAAAATGTTAAGCCTTTCAAGTAATCAAACGCCAAGAGCAAAGTGATTAAATCACAGGAGAAAGTAGTAACAACAAGGTAACCTAGTGAGATCAGAACTGGAGCAGCCAATCCCATGCTTAAGTGCATTTCCTGCAATATTAATAGTCAAAAGAGAAAACCAATCACAGAAACCTCGGGCTTTCTTTTGACAGTCACACAACCAATCCCCACACACCCGAGGTTGACAATAAGGCGGGACTGCAGGTTCATTGAAGAAATTCTTGAGGGTGCAGTTACTATGAACTTCGCACGCAAGGAGCACCGCTTCAGTCATAAACAGCCCACCGAAGCAGCTGAAATTAAACCTTATGCAAAATTTAACCCGGGGTGGGCAGCCGCCGTTTCGCGGAGGGCAGTGGTTATCAGCAGGACAAGCGTCAGTCCCGACGCCGCAGGTCCGGGGCCCACAGGAC